GAAGGGGAAAGAGGCGGCGAACCAGCGGCTGACCAAGCGGCCTCCCTCGAGGCCCCGATTCATAAGGCCGAAGGCACACTTGGCCCGCGCCTTACTATCGAACGCCCCGTCAACATGTGTCAGCCGTCGCCACCTCCCCCGCTTCGCGCTACTTAGCCAAGCGTCCTCCCAGCCATCGAGAACGGCGCTCTTCTCCGCTGAGCCACAAGGCGAGAAACATGGAGGCTGGCACGGGAGAGAAGCGAATGGTCGTCGTTGTCGTCGTCGTCGTCGTCGTCGTTCTTGTCGTCGTCGTCGTCGTCGTCGTCGTCATATATATCGTTGTTGTCGTTGTCGTCGTCGTTGTCGTCGTCCTCGTCTTCCTCGTCGTCCTCGTCGTCCTCGTCGTCGTAGTCGTCGTCGTCGTCGTAGTCGTCGTCGTCGTCGTCGTCGTCCTCGTCGTCATCCCGCGTTAAATGAAAAGCCAACGCTCGCTCGTTGTCGGTAAGCGTGAGGGAGGCGAGGGAGTGACAGGGGAGAGTTGTTGGGTAGGTAGGGGGTGGGTGGGTACGGGTGGGAATGTTAGGTGGGGGCGGGTGGGCGAGGGGTGCGGTGGCGAGTAAGTACGGGGGCCCCGGTCGGCGGGCCCGCTCGAATACTCACGCGGCGATGCTCTTGGAGAGGGGCCATCGGTCCATGTTGGCCTGGTACTTCATGTTCTCGATCTGCTTCCTCAATGCGTCCTTGTCCATGTTGGCGAGTACACTGGGATCCATGGTTACAGCCGCACCCCCCGTGAGTCGACGCCGCCGTCGCCGTCGCCGTCGCCGCCGCCGCCGACGCCGCCGCCGGGAGCCACGAGCGCTTGCGCCTGAGAGAGGAGAAAATCAATAATTCGCGGCCTAGGCGGAGCGAGCGACCGACGACGTGCGCGATTAAAGGTGCGCGCGGGCGGCCGACGCCACAAGTGCCAGAGCCTCGGCACCGCGCACCTACGCGCGCCTACGTGCGCGGCTCTTTACGCCCTGGCCGCTTACGGACTCTCGGCCCGATCAGCGCCTCGGCCGCTGCCACCGCCGCCACCGCCGCTGTCGTCGACGCCGACGCCACCGCCGTCTTCGCGATCCACGACCCGCGGCTCGTGCTCAAGGTCCCGACGTCTCGGCCCCCCCCCCGCCTCCTATCGATGCTAAATACTTCGATCTGCAGAGGGCAGCTTCGGGCCCACCGACCACCAATCGACCCCCGACCGACCATCGACCGACCATCGACTGACCATCAACCCACCACCATCAACCCACCATAAACCCACCACCGACCCGCCACCGACCCACCACCGACTCACCACCGACCGACAACCGACCGTCGATTTTCTACTTACTCGCTTTGTCCGACAACCTCTCTATTGCTCGTAATCCTACAACTTTGAACTTTTCAGATTCGGACGTCGAGCGATAACGTCGCAATCCCGTGATACTACAACGACGATTCCGGCCTCGCGTAAATTGCAATCTGCCATCTTTCGCGCTTTTGCCACCGCATAATACCGCACAAACTTACACAAGCATACGTAATTCGATTCAAATCAAATTTTCCCAAAAAAAAAAAAAAAAAAAAAGAAAAACTATTCGTTAAAAACGGGTTAAATGTAAGAATAAGATGCTACGAAGCGTTATGTTTTAAAGTCGAAGCGTGAAAAGAAAAAATTCTTTACGATAAACTCGAAAGATTGACATTAATTTTTTCTTTCGTGAGATTACAGGATACGTTTTACGATGTAACCTTCGAAAATTCTTTAATAAATTGACTGACTCGTTGGCTAATTGAATCTTATAGTTTCCACTTTAATTTTTATAAAAGAAAAAAAAATCTGAGAAACGTGACGGAATTAAGAAACGGTATTGTTACAGCCTACGTTCGGCAAAAATGTAAACGCTTTGCGAATAAATTAAGGATGTCTGTAATAAATATTAGCAGTTGGTTGACAATGAGAAAAATTTTTGTGCACGTAAGAATGAAAATATATCGTTGCAAATAATTAAAAAATATTAAAAACAAAAAAAAACACACACACAAAAAATATGAGCGGACAAAGTGTATAATGAATGAAATATATGACAATTAATTTTTTTTATATGGGAAATGTATATTCAATACGTGCATTTGACCAAATATACAATTACCTGATATTAAGAATATTTAAGGGAAGGAAACGCCATAAGGTACGATGTAAAGTATAGCAATACTAGAATCGGTAATAAGGGATAATCGTGATTAATAAATAAGATAACTGTTATGAAGATTGTAAGATTTGAAAATATACAATGAAATGAAAAAGCTCTTAGGATAACAATTTAGATAAATAGATGTCGGTAATTCACTTCGTAAGTCGCTTCGTAGACGTAATTATAAGCTCAAAAACATTGAGAATTTAAGACTATAAATGTAGAAATGAAAATTGTTAATTATTAGTGAATGGTAAAAGACACTTTTAATGAAATTATAAGAAAAACAAAATAAATGCATTTGTTAAGGAAATAAATAAAATTTAGATCATTGAGAAAGTTAAAAATTGTTACAACTAAAAAGTTCTTATACAAGTGCAATGTCATAAATTATAAACGCATGATTTATTAATACAAATAAAATCAATTGAAAATAGTATAAAGTGTATTAGAAATTCTCACCTAGTCTAATCAATCAAAATACTGTTAGAGTTTGAATTATAATATTTGAAAATATTATAAAAACTTACATGTTCATTCATTAATTTGATTTTAATTTCAATTCAAGTACACATATAAATAGATTTTAAAATCTTGTGGAATTGAATGTCTTCAAGTTATATAAGCGTTTAAGGAAAATATAAACTGTGAAATCGAAAATGCAAATTCTAATTACCATTAAAATTATTTAAATAATATTGACGAAAACAATTTTATATTTCATTATATATGCACAAGAATTCATAAAAACCATAACAACGCCTCAACTTTCTAAGGATACGCACTTTATATATCTTCAATTATATTCGTTCTATCGCAAGATCATTGAAAATTGAAGTTAATTGCTCATTACAGCTTGAAGCGCCCCCCAATTATGAAAAAGTAACCCTCTATATAAAGATAAAAAATATTTTTAAAAATTCCTAAACTAATAACATACAAAGTGTTTGTCAAAATTCAAAAAATTATAATATATTGTGAAAAAGCCGAATAAATTCAGATATCTCCAATTGCATGGTAATCCGTTTATACATTTAATTATTAATTAAAATGAATAATGATCATATACATTTTATTTTATACAGAAATTCAAAAGATCTATAATAAACGTATCTACAGAAATCTATTTTAAGCAACTATTACAAAACTACAAATAATAAATCCAAAAATACAAATAACGAAAATATATTCAACGAAAAATATTTATTAACAATATTATATATATATATATATATATATATATATATATATATTATTGTGTTATTTATATTTTAATACTAAAAGATTAATTGAAACACTCTTCATTCATATAATGTAAAAAAAAAAAAAAAAAGGTTTAAACAACAATGAGTAAGTGAATTCAGTAAAGAATACGTTAAGCATTAATTTATCAATATTAAAAAACGTTTTTGTTACTTATTTTTAATAATTTTGAGATATTGTTATAGCACCCTTAAACATCATTTTCTTATCCTTGTTCTTCTTAATAAATCTTACATAATTTTATGTTTCAATTGTTACGTTCTATATTTATATTAATCCCTGTAACTTAATTACCTTCGCAATATCGGATATATTTTATATATATTCTATTTTATTTCACTTGTCATTTATTTAATTTTATTAATTACTTTCTATAAGTTAAAGTAATGCAATTTCTGAAATATTGCACAATTATTTATTAATTTGTATTTTCATAATTTTCAAAAACTAATTTCAATTATTCAAAATTCTCGTAAAATTCCTCTATTATCACAAATATCTTGAGCAAAGACTTTATTCAGTTTCAATTACTAATTGCTTTATATTTCGTTGTGCTCGCTCGCTTCGAAATCTATTTTTCTCTCATTTCAATAAAAATTTCTGTGATTTTAAATAAAACTTCCTTAGAACGTTCGATTGATTCATGCTTATCTACAAAAGCTTATACATAAAATATAGATAGATGCTCGCAACGTGATTCAAGGCCAAATTGAATAAAGGTAATAATAAAATTATGTCTTGTTATGAATGATTAAATGGTCAGAATTATAATTAAATGCATTTTTCTCAACATTGTTGAGTGTTATAGATTTTATAAATCGTTGTTAACTACTCGTCAATTTAAAAACTGTTAATAGAAAATTAATTCTAATTAAAAATCTAAAATTAAAAGTTAATTCTATTACATTAGTATAACGACAAATATTTAGATTCACGTTGATCTATTACGATAAAAGCATCATTAATAGACATAAATAATACAGTTTATAAAACAAAATAATATGTCTTTTAATTAATTATTATATTAAAACAAATAATTGTAAATAATTGTACAATTCTTGGAATCCGTTATACCTCATTTTTCAGCGTAATGTTTAAATATACGTAGATTATTATATTGGCTATTGAAACACACGCGTACATAAACACTTAATCATTTGTTAATAAAGAAATATTAATATGTAAAAATGTGAATTAATAAACCTCTTTTTAATTACGGCTCGTCGTAAGCCAAACTATTTTGAGACAAAAAATCCTTACAAATTTAATATTTGAAATATACATGTATACGCATATATTTAAAACGTATACAATATATCTAATTTAATAACACTTCACTGTTAGTTTGAAATACCTACGTATGTCAATATTTTCTTAAGAATTATTTAGAACCGATAATGTATTACAATTAAACTAGGTTATACCACATCATTTTATTTCTTATTTTATTTCTGAATAATAGAAATTTCTCAAACATTTTTAAAATATATTTTCTTTATATATATATATATATATATATATATATATATAGATGTTTAATACAATTTTAATTTAGCATACGATTTCTATTAAAATTCATCACTTGGTAACAGACAATTTCTTAACGCTGAAAATGAATTCTATACTTTTCTAAATTTTACACTTCTTTCTTTAGAATTATCATTGGATAATGACGAAAGAAAGAAAAATAAATCATAAAGTTAAGAAAAATAAACAGATCATTGATTATTCGCCATTATATAATATTATAGAAACAAATTATTCGATGCTCTACACAGTATCATAAAGATAATAAAATTACGTAAATCGAAAAATAATATAATGTACTCTGTAGAATAATGAAGAATATTAAAAACTTATTTTTTACTTAATCTTATTTGTATATAAAAAAATAATATTGAAAAATTTAATTAAATGAAAAATTACCAAATGTTTTATATGCATTCGATAAAAACTATAAAATAATGAGAGATTTTTTTTATTATTTGATCAGTTAATTTGAAAATTCTTAATATAGGTGAAAACAAATAGTAAAATAAATCATTAAATTGGTTTACATTTAAGCCATTGCATTATTATTATATCCCATAAACTACTACAACTACCCTTTTTTATTATATCCAAATATATATATATATATATATATATATATATATATAAGATATATTTAAAAAAATGTTGAATATTATTAACGCTAATTATAGATTAATATGTTTAAATATATAAGTAATTTATTCTAATAATAATATATTCAATCTGAAACTTTAAAAGAAAATTTTTAATCAAAATCTTTCTTATCTTCGTTCGTTATTTTTTAGTTTAGGTAATTATCACTAAAATTAATTTAAATTTCAGTTTATTATACATTGTTGTTATATAGTCAAAATCTACTTATAACGTAATATGTGCAAAATGCATATTTCTTTCTAGTCCTATAGAAAAATTGTATTGTTTATACATTTTTATGATTTCATGCTTTAATTTTTAAATCAGTTTATATTCTCTGTTTCTTAATATTATTTATAATTATAATTTCTCTAATATTTTTTATGCTTTTAACATATATATATATATATATATATATATATATATATATATATATGTTAAACACCACAATAACATTATAATTATTTTACCCTTACATTTTAACGTTAATTATTTATTCACTAAATATTTTAGTTCGATTACAATTTGTTTTATTGTTCTGTCGAATTTTTCATTTAATCCTGTATTTGGTATTTATTACGTCTGTTTTACTAAATCCTTTTAAATATCTTTTATTCTTGTTTAAGCATTACATATTTAATTTTTATCTATCATTCAATTATCTAAAAAACTATTCAAAAAATAAAAATATTGTCCAATTCCATTAGATTTACAATAAAACTATCCAAAATTGATACAGAAAAATTTATAAAAGAAGGTTCTTTCGTTATTCTGAGCATTAATTAATTAATTATCTAACATGATTTATATATTTTTTAGACTTTCTTCGATATGTATTAATTTTCTTGAATTTTTTTTTTCTATCTTCACGTTAATTAATTTCTTAATTATATTTTCATTTACAAATCTCAGATCATCATTCCTAAAATTTTGTATCTCCTAATTGACCTTCATTAATTCATTTTCATCTCAATTGCATTTCAATAAAAATATAATAATATATTTTTTTCCATAATTTATTTATTCTATCGTGTATCATAACCCATCCATTAGTTATTTTATTATAAATAGCAAACAAGCAATTTTGATTTTTTTAACTTCTTCGTATATATATATATATTTTTTTTTTATTTGTTTGTTTTTGTTTTTTGATTTAATATTATGTGTAATAATGAATATTTTAGATATCGAATTAAAAAAAATGAAATTTTCGTAGTTTATATATTGTTTGATAGTTTATAATTAATTTTCTTATTTTATATTAGAATGAAAAACAACTTGTTGAAAATTTAAATACTATTACTTATTGTGAAAAATAGACATATAGCAGAAAGAAGTATTGAAATAATTTTATAATGAAATTGCTATTATTCTATTATTGTTTGTTGCATTTAATGTAGGATATGATTAAGAGAAAAGGTTTTTTTTATTATTTTTTTTTTTTATTTTTTTCTTCAAATTTAGAAAGGAAGAAATCAATTAAAACTATCGTTTTCAATATATGAATACGGTTATTTTATCCTTAGAGCGTCATTATTGTATTAAAAATACATTTACATATAATATTGTAATAATAAATTGTTGTCTTATATAAAAGGTTCTTGAAATAATAAGTGACTGTTCAATTGAATGGAAAAGTCTATTGCCATAAATGTTTTTCGTGCATAGGAAATTTTTTTATTTACAACGTATCGTCTATTATTGTCTTGTGCGCGCATTTTATAAATTGTAAAATCTAGTACTTCTCTCTTTTTTTAAGCATTTTACATTTGATTGCAACTAAACCGCAATGGAATAAGCTGCAGCTTCCGGCTTCATGTCGTCCTCGATCTCGGTATGCGGTTTCAACTATCTTTCAGCCTTTTTTTTTCCCATTCGCGGTTCTTCTACCAGATTCCTTTTGTACTGGTGGTATTGTACAATTTCGTAGCAAACCAATCAATCCGCTTAAATAACAAGCTACATAACAACCGAGTAAAAGTAGCGTCGATTCTGATTGCATCGGAAAGGTACGTTTGCGTATAATGATGGAATTAACGTTGAAGACGTTTATTATAGCTTTTCTTATTAATTTATGAGCTTTCTTATGTTTTGGTTTTCTCTCTCTCTCTCTCTCTCTCTCTCTCTCTCTCTTCACACGTAAATTGACGATGTTAATTTATTTTCATAATTTTTCGTATAAAATTAATCTATAATGTATTACCTTACTTTTTATATGCGCGTAAAGGATGTTTTTTTTCTTCGACTTTAATCAACTTCGACGTTCATCCGCGGTTCATTCTATATTAAACTATTTGCATGAAATTACAAAAGCGATTCGAGTGCAATTAGAGGGCATCTAAAGTCGTTAAATTAAAATGAGATTAAAAACTTTTATTCTAATTTTTAATGAAATAGAAAAATAGCATTATTTAATTGTTGTAAGATTAGATTTGTACAATTGTACTTTAGAGAATGTAATTTAAAACTATGCTTGTACGCCGATCTAAATAATCTAAATAATATTTAAATCTTACTCGTAAATCTGAATGTAGCCAGTGTTCCAATTATTTCTTATGTTTTCAATATAACTTAAAGCATCAAACAATACAAAAGCCTATTGTCGAAACCGCTTTTATTTCGAGAAATATTATAAGAATTACCTTTCTGGAGACTGCTATTGCCGCACAAAGCCACGCAAATTGCCAATATCGTATGAAATATATCTTTGAACGCGTCTTTTTGGCAAATGTCCTTTTTAATACGTTTTCTCTGCAATTCGAGTGCAAGCGTACTGACACTACAGCTTACTTTCGTGCGAGTCAAAGTATCTCTGAGGCAACTTGACTCTTAGAAGGTTTCACAATTCGTTTACGGAAACCCTGCAGCGCTGGAAAATTGAATTAAGCTTGAGCCTACCTAACGATACCATAATTTTCTATACATCTATTACCATTAAAGCTTAGAGCTTCGTGATCGTGAAATTGAATTAGGTGGCCAGTATTTTAACATCTTAAATAAACTCTTCCTTACGCTCAATACGTAAATATTAATACGTGAAATTAATAATTATGCAACAGTCAATTATTATAAAATAAAAGAGCAACAGAAATTTCAAAAAAAAAAAAAACATTATACGGAATAGTACTAATTCTTTCAACGTTAAATTAAAATTTAATTAAAGATCAAATGCTTAGTTTTGGAAATTCACATAAAATTTTTAGCCTTTTCTTATTTTGTATATGATAAACGATAATGATAAATATGTGAGCATTGACATATAAATAGAGCATCGAAACCATAGGCATTACAAGGCTCTGCACTTTGAAAAAGCATTTAACAAACGCGTTTCCACGCATCCACGCAATTGATGGACATGCATAATTATGCGATTATGTATTAAATACATATTACAAATGTATATTTATATGTATGTATGTGTATACACACACACACACACACACACACACACACACACATATATATATATATATACACACATGTAGATACTAAATACAAAGTGTAAAGCATTGGAATCAGCGCACCTCGTCGCTGAAGGATAATCCATCGCAATGTCAAAAGCTATTCATTACTCGTAGTCATTACTTGTTTGACAAGAGCGCGCGGTTTAAACTTGTTCAAGGAAGTTAACAAAAAAAAAAATAGGCGAGTGGGGCTTTAATATTTTCTCCTCTCGTTTGTCGTACAAGTGCAGTCCATTAACGTGGCCAATGAACAAGAGCATCGTGATTACGAAATATGCTGTGATGTCTGAATATTCGCTAAAATTTATGCATTAAGAATATGGCAATTTTTACCATTAGATATAATTCGAAACACGATAATTAATAATGTAATTATAAGATGTATTTAATATATAGTTGTCGGGTATTTAAAATAATTATACGTTTATTAGCAGCTGGTAAGTAGGATTACATATTAAATGCGAATCAGCGCCTAAGCACCTGTGCATGTGTTTGTATATATATATATATATATATATACATATGCGTATGGATGCGCGCACATGTGCCGTTTGGATGCAAACTCAAGAGTATTTATAACCTACAATATAATATTCATTCCTTGCGCATGTACATTGTGATTATAAATCTTAAAGAACCGTATGTGATATTTAGTGACTTTTATATTCGTTTATGCGTAAAGAAAATGTGTGTACAAATTTAGTGCATATAATATTACTTAAGGTCTCGAATTAGCACTGAGAATATAAAATGGAAAAGAATCACAGATTAATCTTAAAAAACTTACCTTTAAATATAAATAATGAGAAGATTGAAAAATTACTTAAAGATTATGTAATTATAAACAATATCGATTTAAAAGAAAAGACAAATATTGACGAAAGCACGAAGAAATTTGCTTTTGTTAATATATGCAGTACCGATCAAAATTTACAAACGTGTAAGTTCTCTCCAGAAACATGCAATTAATAATTATATTAAAAGCTCTTTATTAATTTTATAAATAATTTAGGTTTTAGAGAATTGAACGATAAAGTCCTCGATGGATTTCAAATAAGCGTGGAATTAGCGAAAGAAAGTTTTTTGGAGCGATTAAAAAGAGAAAGAAATGAAGATCAATTGAGCAAGAATCATTCTATAGTGCAAAGTAATCAAACTTATGATGCTAAAACTGATTCTTTTAATGATATTCGCATTACTTCAAAAACTAAATATCAAAACTTTCCTGATTCCGATTTACCTTCAAATAAGTTTAAAATCAAAGAAAACAAAGGTAGATTGAAAAATTATGAAGAAATTGAAGATCGAAGCGATGACTCAAAAATACAAGAGATATCAAACAAAAGATCTTTTAAAAATTTAGAGCCAAAGAAAAGAAAGAGAAGTGTAATATCCAATGATTCAATCGACATTGATAATACATTAAGCGCTAGTACTAGCCAGAATGTAAATGTAAATGAATCCGATAAACAAAGAATAATGTCATTGACAAAAAAAAAACAGGCATTTAAAATGCAAAAGCAAGCAATACATAATAGTTTGAAATTTGTGGTAAATAAAATTTAATATTTTTAATACTGACATTACGAAATTAATTCTAAAGATATTAAAATATTTATAACTTTAATAATGCTTTAGGATAATAAAAATTCAAATAAAAAAATTATATTTAATGATAATTTAGAAATTCAAAATTCTGAGCAAAAAACTTTACATAAAAAAAGTACTCTTTTCAACAGTGATGACGAAGATCAAGAAAATTACGAATGGAATGAAGATGAGCTTGACGCCAAAGCCAATTTAAAATACAAAGTTAGTAATTCAGTTGTATTATTGCATTAATAAAAAATGGTTAATTTATTATTATTGATTTACTCTATATACTGAATTGTTATTTTAGTTACATAAATTACAAACACACATTGGCAATGATAAAAGATTTGTTCTTGATGAGCGTTTTATAGATGATGACGATGATAAAATTAATGAAATGAAAGGTGAAAATAAAGATAATCAAAGTGAATTGAATGATAAGGAATGGCAACGTGATAGTTTTGGAAATGTTTCGGGGCAATCGATTGAAACAACAGATCATCAGGATACAGCCAAAAAGTACATAATACTTTTGTTAAATAACGAATAAACAATTTTATTATTAAGTATCGGTGCATTATTATCGGTGCATTATATTATTTCAGAAAGATTCGAATGGTGAGGTATGATCCTACCGCAAGTAATCATCAAGATTATGAAATAATTACTGAAAAGTCAAAGTGTGACAAAACTGTTAAAAAGAAAGAAAAAATAAAAGACACTGAAATAAAAGCAGATATTCCTGTTCCAGTATCTAATGAAATATTCTATGATGTATCTCAGAATTTAATTACCAGCTTAAATAAAAATGAACAATTTAGTTTATTACAAACTTTTGGTCGTACTGTCCCAAATACTGGTATAATTTAATTTTATCTTTATTATTATTATAATATAAATTAATAATAAAATTTGTTTATTTTTATCAAGACAATAAGAACGAAATTAACAGCGAAGTGGAAGAAACCATAAAATTTAATTTTAATCATAATACTAAAAAAATGAAATATGATTCTTCTGACACTGAAGATGAGGAAGAAATAAGTGAAGAAAACAAAGGTACATTACCAAAATCAACAAAATCTCTTGAATTTAATGTACAAAATGATAGGCTATTTTTCTATGATAATGATCCTCGTTTTTCTGGTAAGTAAAGATATCTTAATAAGCTATTTATTTTTTGTTTCAAAAATACATTTTATTTTACATTTGTATTTTAGAAGCCAAAAATTTTTTTAAAAATCAATCAGCTCATAAAGAAGATGTATTTAAGAATACAAGACGTAAATTAAAAGAAATCGTACGTTCTAAAATTCGTAAAAATTTGAAAAAGTCTATTCCTTGGAATAGAAAAAAAATACGCAGAGCACAAAAAAGTAAATAAAAAAAATAATACAGTATATATTTTTTACATTTTTGTCAATAATTAACGTACAAACATGTTGCGGGTTTATGTTTCTTTTTTTGTATTACATATGCATACATATATTCATGCTTATAAGTGTAAAAAACATACGTGCATGTATAATCATACGTATTTTCTTATCACGTTGCAAATGTTTCAAAAATACATTTTTAGTGTATATAAGAGCCAAAAATGATAATGGCATGATGAAAAAATGAATTAAAATATATAAAAAAGCTAATTTAATAAAATATTAACTATATAATATTTGTATAATATAAAACGTTTATTTTGTAAATAAAATAGCATAAAATATTTTGTAATTATATATTTTTGTTATATAAAAATATTTATATTGTATTTATGAGTCCCTACGATATATTTTTTCCAAAAGTTTAAAGAATAAATCATGTGGAAGACCGCGTGAGATTTGTTGAATATGAGTGTTCATGAGATTGTAACTTTCTTCTTCATAAACAGAATACGTTAATTGTAATCCTAAATCATTATATAATTGCTTCACTTTTGCAACTTTCTCCAAGTCATCAACACCATAACACTCCTGCAAATATTTAAAAAAAAAATCAGTTAATAGAATTATTCCGATTAATAAAATTAATTTTTATACAAAATAAAAAAAAAAACATGCAGTAAATTCAGTATGAAAAAAGAAGATCGATAAACAACTTTCGATATATTATTTTAAATTTAAATTGTCTTATTTAATTAATAATATTATTTTGCGTTCAATTTCGTTAAAAGAGTTACAAGCGTAAATGCTAATATTATTTTCTCGACAAACCTCCAATATTTTTCTTTGTGCTGGACTAGCACGTTGCAAAGCAACAATAGTGAGCCAGGAGCATTTACCCTCTTGGATGTCCGTCCCTTGTTTGCCAGTTACCTGGGGATCACCGTAACAATCAAGATAATCGTCTTGCACTTGAAAGAAATGTCCCATTTCTAACAGAATGGTTTTAGCTTGTCTATGCATTTCTGGATCTTGTATTCCAGCCTTGTTTAACAACAGAAATCAATTGCTTAATGTCGAAACGTTAACAACATTGAATAAATGATTGTTTAGATATTTACGAAAAACATAGCGAGCTGAACTGGCATGACGAATGAATAATAAGCCGTTTTGTATTTGACAATTGAATTATATCGATCCATAGTGAAGAGAGTAAAATTTGGCTTTTTACCAAAATTTGTTGCCAATGAATCTAATGTCTGGCCCATTACCGTTTTCAGTGTATTCTGTAATTGAATGTAATTTAAATTAACAAAAATCTCAATACGATTGCAATATATATATATATATATATATATATATATATGTATATCGCAATAAACAATTGTATAATAACAATAAATTGAAAAATTGTTGTAACATATTAGCGATATATCGAAAGTCACTTTAATAATTTTAACTTAACGGTAGAGAAAATTGAATTTAATTCCATGCATTTATTATGGGAATATCGGACACAATTGGATTCAATTCTAAACATCTAATCAATGAATTGTTATCAAAGCTAATTGAGTACTCGGTCGGTTTTACTAACTAAGCATTCTTGTTTGATGACGAATTTTAAAATACAATTCAATAGAACGTTTGATTTTCAATTTTCACAAATGAACTATCTCAATGACTTGTTTTAATAATATTAATAAGAAGATGAAACTATTCGCACCTGCTGGAAAGTCTCAATAAGATCGAGGTAGCACGGTCTCCCTTTAAAGTGTAATCTTAGCAACTGGTAACTCGCTTGCTCCAATAAAATACCATCGTTTATGGCGGACATACCAATATTGTTCTGTAAATACCAGCAAGGCTGACCCCTTCGAGACGGTGCCCGATCCATGATATCGTCTAACACAAGGTAATACGCCTGGAACTGCAGACACGAATGTTTATTAATATAATATACGACTTTTGGACTGTCAAGAGGATATGAATTTATAAATAATGATATTAAAAATTGATCGGAATATTTACCATTTCGACGCACCATCCCAAAATTCTCGCTAATCTGATATTTTCCTCTGTTAATTGATCCGAAGGCGCGAGTTTTCTGTACGAATAGACTAGCGACAATGCTCGATTTTTCTTACCACTTGGAACATTGTATTGCAGTACCTAATGGAAAAAGTAAAGAAAAATACACATATTTACATAGAATAATGAATTATAATCAATCGAGACAATCCATCGCAGAGTAATTTATGGTAGGCATAAGAAAATCCTAGATTATTAACAAATCACTTGCGGTAATACTACATGCATACTTCATGAGATTAAAAATACTTTTTAATTTTTGAGAAGTAAATAAATTAAATTATTAAAAGGGCTGAAAATAAATATTTTTGGTGGTAAATTTTATGAACAATCAACGCCGCAATATGTGTCTCAATTTACTTGAATATAAATAGAAAACATGTTTATATAGCACATTCACTTCCCGTCCAATCAAGTATTGCGATGAAACTGAAAAATGCATATGCTCTTGGCTAAGAAAATTTTTAATGATAAATCAAGTTTCTAATATCGAAAGCTTAAAAATTCTAATATGTGAAAGAATTTTTCAAACTTTAAAGCTTTATTTTCGAGTAATAAGGGTGCGAAGGGGCATTATTTTCAATTTTTTTATATCCGTTATAACATAATTAATATAAAATATTGATAATATTTAAAGTATGAAAAAATCTCACGCTTTTGAACTAATCGCTAACATAGAAATTTGGTGCAAAAGTGAAAAAAAAAAATATATATATATATATATATATATATATATATATAAAGAAAGTCATACTTTGGCTAGCCATTTGGTTGCATCAGGAATGTCTAGGTGTCGTCCAGCATCCGTGAGATCCCGTACAACATCCGGCCAAAGTGCCATCATTTCACGACTCTCATCCCTTGTGGTGACCCAACTAGTTTGCGCCACCGAGTGTACGCTTCGGCCATTGGCCGCTCTGTTGAATAAGAAAAATGCATTATTAATAAAATTGCACTAACAGGCGTGGATCATCATTATAAAAATGTGAAAGTGTTATTTAGGGAGAGGAACTCGAAGATTTAGAAAGTGTGAATTCCAGCACATTGTCGATACATTGATTGTGTAGTTGCGCGGGCACTGATTAAAAAAAATTTAGATCATTATTACACCGCATCGATCCATTAATAAACAAATGCACGTATCATTGATCTTAACAATTAGACGCTAAAAGATATGCCGAATTTATTGCTATTGCTTGGAAATAATAACGACTTGTTTAACAAAAGCGTTTTTACTTTTTTTACCTTTAAATTTACTATAAAATGTAAAATTCAGAATTAATCATTACTAATTCTTTTTCTTCTTTTAATTGCTTTTATTTGCTAAAAATTGACTTTTTATCTTACAAGAGCTATTATAATACATAATTAGATGATACATAATATTAATTCAAATCTCTCTTAATAGTTGAGTTATTAAATTTTATTATCGCTTGCTGCTATCAAGTTAATCTTTACATAATGGCTTGTTAAATACAAAAATTTAAAAATGAATATTATTGTAAATGTTAAGTAAAATACTATAAAAAATAATTATTGAGGGCCAATAATTATAACTGGCAATAAGTATCGATATACAAATATATCCATTTAATAAAAAAAAAATAAATATATATATATATGCACGTACGTATCAATTATTGATAAAGGCGAAGGTACTGCACAGTCCATTTGGTAAATTAACGAAGATACAAATTGAAGCAACAAAACTAAAATTGACGCTCGCGTGCGGAACTATATAAATTGTCTAAACATTATAATGACAATAGAGAAGGTTGCGTCAACTATTTTAGTTCTTACAATGAATAGATAAACATTGAATTATTATAACTGTATACATTTGCTTATGATTTACTTTTCTTACTGTTATCTGCACTACTATTTCTATCTTTGGAAAACAGGTAGAATCTGTGCTGCGCATGCGAAGCTGAATTAATTTACATTAATTTAATGAGTATTCTTTTCCCTAGTAAACATAAATAAATACAATATAATATGTAGAAAAAATTCAACAAAATTCAATTATTTAAAATTAGTCCAAGTTATCGAGTCATTATCAGGCAGACATATTATAAAATATAACTATATTTTAGGATGAATATAAAAAAAAATTTCATATTCCAATATGATAATATAAAATAATGCTATTATTTATGTAAAGGACTATGTTTATCTATAGCTGGATTAATTATGTGTTTGTTTTTTTTTCCCCCAAAATGAAAATGAATAAATGTAACTTCATGGATAAATAATATAAAGAGTGTCGAATAAAATTTTCAATGATGTTTTAAATATGAAGTCCTATATATTTAAATTAAAATTAATATATACCAAGCTACGATGATTATTAATATAAAATGTATATGGTTAATGTATATGGCTAATTTACGCTTATATAATAAACCTCAACTATTTTATCCCTCAACTATACTAATATGTTGATTAATGGGATAGGCGAAAATAAGGATTTTAACTTTTTTTATTTTTTTTTTTTATTTTTTTTTTTTTTTTTTTTTTTTTTTTTAAATACGTGAATTATATTTATTAAGTTTTTGTATGTAACCTGTATAAGTATATCACGAACAAAGACTTTAACATAACTCTATTGTTCTTTGAAATACAAATTTATCATGTGAAAAAAAATTTTTTTTTATTATAATAATTATATTATTTTATTAAAAATGAAAATTGAGTAAATAGGCGTGCGCAACATTCAATTAATAATGATTAGTAAAATATTTTTTCTTCCACAACTATATAAGTAACACAACTACTGTTACATACAGATGCCATTATTTAATTAAATAAATAATGTAATGCACAGTCGAGATGTCGACTATATAACATACAGATAAATATCATTTATTATCATAAAGTGCATGATAATTTTGAAATAAAAACATAATAATTACTATTGTAATAACAAAATAATTACTATTGTACATTTTCGGCGTTACATTTAATTATTCTTAAATGAAATTTGAAGAAATATTTTGCCTAATATTAGATCTTGAATTCCAAATAGGCTTTGCATAAGAAAAATTTACAATCGTGTTATTTAAATCTTTCAGTAATATCAGTTTTTTTTATTAATTTAATTGTTCTCACAAATTACATAGAGATTATTTGAAATACGGGGACTGTGAATTTCAATTTAATCATTATATCTAATTTATAACACAGTTTCAAGCAGTAAACTAATTCATTTGTACCAATTATCGTATGAAACATTTTTACCACAACATTGAAAATTAAATTATCGTTCGTAAGACAAATGTAACAAAATTTTCACTAAATAGATACATGCGTCACAAGATACAGGAAGATCTGTATTTTTATCTCCATTAGTTGAACGTAAAATTTACGCTGAACAACTTGAGCATCGATGCCTTAAGTGGACAATACTTCGTTCTATTTATTGCAACGATAATCAGCAATAGAATCATATAATACGTAAAATTTCGATTAACCGTCGCACTCACTACATCATTCCTACTTAATATTTTTCGAAGCGCGTAATCACATGATGAACGAATGGGACTCCTCGCGGATAAAACATTGATATATGTTTGTGATCATATCACAAGCACTTTCTAATCATCGTTTCGGTCAGTTGCATTCACATGCCACGAGATAAATTTATATGCATGCGTATGCTCATCTATATGTGCGTCCGTAAAATCAAGCAGCATAGATATTAAAAATATATATATGTGTGTGTGTGTGTGCGCGTGTGTGCGCGGGCGCGTATGTGTCGAACATCTTCGATCAAAACGACATTAGATTTAAGTTTTTGAAATTTAAATCGATTTAATTCATCAATTTTTTTTTTTTTTTTTTTTTTTTTTTTTTTTAAATTAAAATTTATAATTTTAGACAAACTATTTGATATTATTATGCTTCATTATTCAAAATCAATAAATCTACTGTATTTATTTCAATTTTATTACGTACCCCCTAGGAATTTAATTTTTACAATCATTAAATGGCTTACAGTAGTAGTTAAAAGTAATTGTATTTGCGTTGTTACTATTTGAAAAAGACTGAGATAATTATGCATATTTATTAATATAATATGCGAATTAAAAATGTTTAACTAAATATCAGTATTAAATTAGTTAAAAATAGAAAGTTCGAGTAACGGTTATTAAGAATAATAAATTTGAATGCTCTGCATACACACGCGCGTACACACATTTTATTAATGCTTTATTTTAGTATAAGAACTAAAACAGATATTTATTAATGTATATTTATTTTAATTTGTTTATTCAAATTTGACAAATTGATAATGTTTATAGATAACTTCTTACAAACAGAGTAGATAAAAAAAAAAAAAAATACGAACTAAAATAGCACATCGAAATTAAAAATTGAATTGTTTTGTAAATGCAGCTATTTATCTGGTAATTATCGGATGAAAATCTAAAGTTAATTTTTATTAAGCCAAATAGATGTTGACTAATTTAATGATTCTGTTAGCTATGAAAAAAGTAACTATAAACAATCTTATATTATTTTTATTTTGTATAAGATATGTCATGATTGCTTATTAATAACTTCATTTTGTTAATTATATGTTTCTTGTTGATGTTATGATTATAGATTTTTCTATTTTTTTCCTTTCTCCAAGGCGTTTTATGAACATTTTAAATATTTAATATTACGAGCATAAAAGCAAATTTTTATGATAATCACGTTCATGATAATATAAGAATAAGTTTACAATAAAAAATAGATAAAACTTTAAAGTTTATATATATATATATATATATTTTAATTCAAAAAAAAAAAAAAAAAAAAAAAGAAAAGAAAAGAAAAAAAGAAAAAAAGAAAAAAAGTTTTGAATTCTTATCCAAATTCGACTAACAGAAAAATAAAAGAAAAAAATATTGTTTTATAACCAGTTGATCGATTATGGTACAGTTCTACGAAAAATCTCACTTCTCTTATTTTTGAAGATTATCTGAAAACGTAGTAACCACTTTCACACACAAAGGCAAATTAACATGTCATAAATAAACTTTAAAGGTAGTATTATCTTTGTTATAAAACAAAGTAAGAAATGACTCTAGAAATATGTATTTTATGCAATACAAATAAGTGTATAACATTACCAGACGTTTTAAAGCAGATAGTGGTTAACTCATTATTCGAACTTGAATGAACGCTTCGTACTTTCTACAATGTACAACTGTAAAAGTCGAAAATTTTTGAAATTTCTGTGTTAAAATTCTGAGTGGAATAACGCTTTGAAATACATTTTAGCAGTTAGTTCTCTTAATGGCGACCCTCAACTTTCTTTCCTCTCTTTAAAATTCCAGATACGTACGTGAGTTATTAATTATACATAATATATAATGAAATGGTCAAAGAAAATTGTATAATATTATGTTAAATTTTGTATAAAATTATTAAAATTATAAAAATCCAATTCCTATATATATATATATATATATATATTATCATTAAAGTATATTTTTGAATGTTTCCGTTAAATTAGAATAAGATATGCATAAGCTATTAGAATAGATTCAAATTTCAATAATCAATTATGTTATTATTAATTAATAAAAGTATTTTTATTATCTTATATAAAACGTAATTGTTGAAATGAAGGCAGATTTAAGGATGTGCGGTGGGACTCTTATGCATTATTAAATCGATACCGAAAAAATAATTTATTCAATTGCTTCACTCTACATTACATTATGCCTACGTTAATAACATATAGAAATCTTTTGTTTAATACTTTGTGTTAGTAAATGCCGAAGCGTAACGTAATAATAATCTATTGTATATATTTTTTCTCGGCAATCGTATAAAGATCTGTATAATAAAAATTAACTTTCTCCTTTATTTACACTTTCTATCATTAGGGAGTTTGAATATGACGCGCATAAAGATAAAACTTGAAAATAACGACTTCGTTAAGCGAAATAAAACATACTTGTGCAATTAATCGAATCATCTTCCAACGTGTATTATCATTAATTAAATGGAACAAAGAAGGCAATGGATTTTGTTTGTCTATTTATCTTTTTATGCTACGCTAAGGTTGCGTCGTCAATAATAAAATGCCAATGTAAACATAAAATAAGAAACATGTATGAGACAAAGAAAGAAAGAAAAATGGAAGGAAGAAAGGAAGGAATAATGGAAGGAATAATGAAAGGAATAGGAGAGGGAAAAAAAACAAAAGGTACGATTAATACGGAGATAGAAATTAAAATAACGATTGACGATGAAGATTTGACAATAGCGTGACTAAATAATGAAAGTCACATGAAAATATAAATATGCGGACGACCGATGATAGAACATAAAAAAAAAAAAGAAAAAAACTCTAGTCGGTCCATCGCGCGACGAACTTTTTGCTTACCGCTGGGATAATCCGCTACACGAAAATCAATAACAACGAGGATCAGAGAGAGAGAGAGAGAGAGAGAGAGAGAGAGAGAGAGATACGATGCTCCCGAATGGGGGCCGATAATATAATAAACAGCGAGATAATACTAAGAGAATATAGGCAGCCTTACGGAAGTGGTCTCTGAAGATGATCATAGACGGCGACGGGAGTAGTCTCGACGACGTGGGAGAAGGTGCGCCGGGTCGGCTCGAGGCTCCGCGCCTGGAGCGTCCTTAGCAATGACGAGCAGCACCTTCGCGCGCTGGAGGTCATGATCCTGGCCGTAGGTCGGCCTACGCAGCAGCGATCACGTACGCAAGCCCCTATCGGCGCTTCACTTTTAACCTCTCTTTCTCCCTCGGAGCGACGGGGCTTACGCCTTGACCACTTCTCCCCAAGGCTCACCACGACCAACTCCCTGGCTGCTCGACACTCGCACGCTTACGTGCCTCCGCGGATGCGCTACCCCTTTCGTAAACTGAGACTCGAGAGCCGCCGGACCAGTCTTGCCTTATAACTCGGACGAGCGATTCACGGCCGAAGCTGCCACCGAGGCCGCGCTCTCTTCCATGTCGCGTCCAAGTCCTACCGAGTGGCGCTCATCCTCGGCGGCTCGTTAATAAAGCTCCTGTATCACGATACGCCTCTCGTTCCGTGTTGATAAATGCACGATTTTATTTTTGTAAGTGGCAGCCATCGGCAATCTTTGTTATTATTATTGCGCTCCTTTGCTTTACGCGCTTAGTTTCTAATTTTATCACATAGATGGGGCTTTGTCTGAGCTG